CGTAGTCCCCTCCAGTTCCTGGTCTTGGCGCTCCAGCTCGTGTCGCTCCCGCACGGGCGATTCTCTTCTTCCGCGAGACCTAGTCATGGCCAAAGGATGGTCTGACACGTGCATGCAAAAGAAAACCGGCGCAATTGGTTCGAGATACAGGTATAGCGTGCTGTTCGTAACAACAGCACCCACACTTACCTATATGTAGCACGAGTGGGCACGACCAACTCGCACGCGTTTACAATCAGGATTCTTATGTTTGAAAAATGTGGGCGAACACACTTCGTCAGGAGTGCCACCAGAATGGGCTAGGGTAACGGGATATGGGTAAGGAACGCATGGAAACTATGGACTATGTACATTGCTACCGCGTTTCCGCGTGCCTGACGCAGCTGCAGAACCGCGTGGAGTCTACATGTGGATTACATACGCTAAGAGCACGTTGGGTCCATGCCCACACGCGTCATGCTGGTGTATCATGGGCTACAGAACTTGCTCGTTTTGGCCACGGGGAATGCAACAATGCGCTAACATGGTGCCCAGGATTTACTAGCACACGGCCGACGCTCTAATCTCGTAGTGTCTACCAATCTGGATACTGCTGTAATTGACTATGGAGTTCGCCCTTTCGTAGTGTATGCTTACCGTATGGACTGCGGGCGTACTAGACTACTGCTGTATTTCCAAAATGCTGAATGAGCACGAGATACCGCATTCCCTGGACCAATATTCAAAGCTCGATCACGTCACGACGAAGAGGATGCCGAAATCGAACGATGCGCTTTCAGAAAGCGGCAGTAGTCGAGCTTTGAAAATCGGTCCAGGGGGTATCCATGGTATTTTCTGCAGCCTTAGACTATGGCGGTAGTATTGGTGGTGCTCCTCTGCTGGCTTTCATAGGTAGAAATAGTCTCTACAACCTAACCATACTACAGAGAGGCCAGGCGGCCTAGAATTCGAGCTGTGCACGACAGACTGCATCTCCCGTGTATTCTAGCCATGTCTACTTGTGTAGTCTAGTCGCTCTTGAGCGGTGTGGGTGCTGTTGCATCAACATTTTGGATCCAAAATCGGTACATATACCTCGAAACAGGCGAGAATCTCGCTGCAGAACCGAGGGAGATGGAGGATCTGAACCCAAGGAGGGTGCAACCTTGAGCTTCCTTTCATCGCCGCCGAAGTCGAGGCCTTCACTGGTCCCAGCAGGAGGACGGTGCTGGGACCGGGTTTGCAATTGATCTTGTCGATCCAAGCAAGGATATTGTGGGCATGGCGGTGCGAGGGAGGAAGACGCTGTCATTGGCGTAGCGCGGGTCGCGGCGCCAAGGCAGAGCAGCACCAGCACATTGCTGCAAGGCACGCGTCCAGACTTTCGTATTGGCCGTACATCGCTGGGTGTTGTAGCCATGGATCTGTGTGAGAGGATGATTATAAGGCCTGCGTACAAAGCGGAGGAAGCTCGGGCAGGGTGCGCACGAAAGATCCAGATAATATTTACCTTTGTCTCCCCTTTCCGACACCGCCTTACGATGCTACTGAAAACTTTTCGCGAAATCCCCCAGCGCCCAGCGGCAGATTGTGTCGCCAACAACAGCTGTCTGGTGAAGCAGGGCTGGGCCAGAGAGAGAGAGCGAGCGAGAGAGAGCGAGATCGGAGGACTTGGCGGCGTGGTTGACCAGGTGGGGGGTGTCAGGAGACGCAAGATGCTCGAGAGACTTTATTGAAAATTGCTCCTCAGCTGCATGTAGCTATCGTAAAGCGGCTGCCCAACGAACCTCCGACATTTGTAGTACAGCAGTATTGTAGTTTGAGCACCCGGCAGTCAACATGCTCCCCCTTGTTTGTAGGAGGTTGTTCGAAGGCAAGTCTGGTCATCTCAGCACCAGTAGTAGGAGAGTTACATGATGGGAAGCTGCTACCTTGCTACTTATTGGTCGGACAGCAGGCAACCAACCCCCAGTCACCACTTGCTGCGATCACCACCCGCAGAGAAAACGACGCCCCTCGTATGCATACAGCAGCCAGTCCTCCCTGTTCTTCTGTACCACGGTGCTGGTCTGTACTCGGCACCTTTAGGCTCAAGACCGGTGATATATGCCGGTAGAAACTTGGGGCATGCGTATACATGACGCCGGGAGACGAAGGTATCTTGCATGCTTCCACACAGCAGGATTGTTCGATTATTTGATGCTACGCCTGTCTCCGGTTCCTTACAAGCAAGTCCTCCTGAACGCGGGGTAATTACAGCGTGGTACAGCAGTGCATACAGCAGAGTCGCGCTGGTGCTGGGCGCACGATGCCAGATTTCCAGCACTCGTGTGAGACCTCTCGTTGCTGAGGGACAAGTAAGGGGACTGGCAATAATCCATTGTGGGTCAGGCTCTTAACCTGCTGAGGTCGTGCTTTTGGTCTTGGACCAATGTGCGTCGACTTATGCTTCGAAGTCAGCACGGTGCAAGTATTTCGTGTGGCAGGCGGCTGCTGCCGATGTTGATTCGGGCGCTGTGTTATCGTGTCTTTTTTCTGATTATATGCGCGTGTTTGTGTACGCCCCTGTCCCAAAGGCGGTCCCTGCAAGCCCAGGGTGAAACCGGCCCTACATCACTGCGGGGAAACCTTGCTTGCAGAACTCGTGCTTCCCGCACAGCGGGATGCCTGCCGGTGATACACGATGTGGCGTCCACAAGTCGTCCGAAGAACTGCCAGTTTTCCTTTCTCCCAGGCACGCTGCCTGCTGTCTACAACTGCAGCGCAAACGCGCCCACCTCGGTGTTAAGCCGCAACAAGGGCAGTTTGGCGGGGCGACTCGAGAGGTCTAGTGGGCCCTACAGTAGCAACTCCTAGTTCTGTGTTGCCATGAGGTCTGATTGATTACGTCTGATTCGCCGTTATTCCTCTGCTCGTTTCCGTCTGTCTTGTGCTTAAGCAGTATTGCGCGTGGACGACGGGCAATGGGGAGAGGGCCATAGAGCAAAATAGAGAGAGAGAGAGAGAGAGAGAGAGAGAGAGAGAGAGAGAGAGAGAGAGAGAGAG